GATGTTTCTCCCTCTCCCTCTCCCTTCCTCTCTGAAATCAATAAAAATATGGACATCAGAAGGAACAGAAACACATTCTCCATGGCTTCTGAGCACCTTGATCCAGGTGCCTGAAGCCAGTCTTATCCCTTGGCCTCTCCAGTTACAAGAACTCACAAAATTCCCTTTTATGCTATAGTCGGTTTGTGATATATTTCTGACACTGGCAATCAAAAGTCTTGATCAATATGGGGGTGCTACTGCCGTTTCAAAGATGGAAAAGCTGAGATTCAATGACCTGAGGACTCTCAGCTGGTAAGTGGGAGCACTGGCTGAATCTCAGCCCAGCCTCTCCCACTACCCTTTTCTGGATTCACAACGTGCCTTGCACTGACACTTGACGATTTTATTTTCTTTCTTTTTAAAAAAAAAATATATATATATTTTTATTGATTTCAGAGAGGAAGGGAGAGGGAGGGAGAGATAGAAACATCAATGAGAAGAGAGAATCATTGATCGGTTGCCTTCTGCACGCTCCCTACTGGTGATCAAGCCCGCAACCTGGACATATGCCCCTGACCGGAATTGTACCCAGGACCTTTCAGTCCGCAGGCCAACGCTCTATCCACTGGGCCAAACCAGTTAGGGTTATACACTTGACGATTTTCAAAGCATCATCTCCACCTATCACCTCACTGAAGGTCATTTTCTACCCTGGATCAGTAGCTTATGCTGGGGACGCAAGAAATGGCCAGATATCTCTGGTCCCTTTAAGCTCACAAGCCACCCCCATGGGTTGGACCCAAAACTCACTCCTCTGCCACGTCCTCCTCCTCTTCACCTGGGTTGAAAGACTCATCTGAAAAGGAACACAGGATTCATCAGTTTTGCCCCATGGAAATCCCCTCCCCTGACCCAGACACCTGGCTCTGGCGGGAAGGGTCTGACAGCCCCCCGCCCCGGCACTGCCAAAGCTAGCCCACCGGTTTCTTCTCCCGAGTCATCGCTGCTGTCGTTGGCATTCTCTTCCCGGATCTTGCCCTCCTCCTTCATCCGCTCCAAGTAGGCATCGTGCTGATCTTCATCAGAGTCAGCATAGTCATCGTAGCTTGGGTTCATGCCCTAGGCAGGGAGGAGATGGGAGTAAGGGCCACTCGCCCGGGTGCCAGAACCCCGGCACACTCAAAAGCACGCCCCCATGCCTGTAAGATCAGAGCAACAGCCCCCAGCTGGGGCTGAATTGTCCACACACAGCCAGCGTGCAGGGCCTATGCCCCGAAAACTTCCTGCCAACTGGGTTAGTCCAAGCTCCTCCCTCTCCCAGCCCCACTGGGGGCTCCTGGGGGCGGCAGAGACTGATCTAAGGTCATGCGAGGAAACCTGCATCAGGAGGGGAAGGGTCACACGCACCTCTTTCTTCTATAAGGGTAAGAAGAGAAGGGAGAGTGAAAAAAAGCCGGAAGAGTCCCTGCCCCTTCCCCCACCACAGAAAGAACGGGAGAGGCTCAGCCTTTCCACACACAGCGGTACCTCTTTCAATCCTCGGTTTTTGATGTTGAGTTTTTTTGCATTGACAAAATCAAACAGCTTCCCATACTCCTCCCTGTGGGGGGAGATGCACAGTTACCAGACAGGCAGGGCCAACGAGAGGAGGACTACCATGGACCGGGACAGACTATGGGGCCTGGAGCTCTTGACCACGTTATCCAACCCAACAGCTCAGAGACACTCGGAGGACAGCAGGAAAGAGTCTGACACTAGTCTTGAAAGAGGAACCTGTACAGCTCTCAAGAGTTCTGAGAAAGAAAAGGTGGGGAGGGGTGCACCGAGTAGGGGGAGGATGCGAGAGGAGGGGATGTCATCTTTTGAACGGATTGTATTTCATACTTCACCGTTGTTATGAGGATTAAGTGTGAAACAGCGAGCACTCGATAAACATTAGCTGCTGTGTTCTCGGGCACCGAGCTCATTCCAGGAAAGGGAAAGATAGCATTTCCATCATGGGGGGAGTGGAGGAGGAGAGGGCCAGTACTGAACAAGAGCTTTAGTAATATGGAAAACAATATTGTTAAGAACAGAAAAAAAAAAAAAAAAAACAAACAATGCAGAGGCTTCCAAAGGCTGAGCACTTCAAGGAGAAGAACCAAAGCCCAAGGAAGCAAAAGAAAAATTCTGCTCAAGGCAAGAAGTCAGGGACGAGTCACAGGCCAACAGGGGGGTCCCAGGCCTCCCAGTCAAGACTGGGTAAGGACCAGGATACCCAGGAAGGGACTGGCCGAGGCTCTTACCTCTCAATGCTACTGAAGGTATACTGAGTGCCCTGCTTGGTCTCAATTTCAAAGTCAAAGGACCGTGTGGTGGTGGTGCCACGGGCGAAGTTGACGAAGGAGATCTCATCAAAGCGGATGTGCACGGGTGGCTTGTGGACGTAGATGAAGCCCCGCTCCAGCGGGTACAGCAGTCCTGAGCTCGCCTTGTAGGAGCAGGTGATGCACTGGGCCCCGGAGTGCCTGGTGGAGGGCACAGGGAGCCCAGTCAGTGCCAGAGGCAGCAGGTGGCACAGAGCCACAGAGAACATCTCTCGGGAGTATATCTGCTCAGGCCCTCAAATGAGTGAACCTCACTAAGCTGCTCTAATGAAGGTGACTGACGCCATCAAGATACAACCCAACCAGGCCTCTGAGAAGCCGCGCTCCCATCCCAGGGGGGGCTTACCCAGGAGACGTGGCACAGCCCACCCCCGTAGCCCAGGACCCGGGCCTGCACGCTCACCCTTGGAAGTTGCCTGGAACTGTGATCTTGCGGTTCACCAGTGCCTTCATGACCCGGCTGACCATCTCATAGAGGGATCCCGACATGTTCTTGGTGAGCCGCCCCTCAAAGCGCTTCTCCACCTCTTCTCTACAAACAGAGGGAGATGAGATCACGAGCACAGCTGCCTTCTAACGCACACCCATCTCCTGCAGGCAGGGGCGGGCATGAGGGAGCACTCACTCATTCATGTTGAGAGTCAAGGAGATGTCCTCATCCTTGGAGAAGAGGAGGATCAGGAAGTGGTAACGGGTCTGGCCTTGCTTGATGGGGGGATCCAGGCTGATCTGGTAAGGAAGAGCCAACAAGGCTGAGCACCAGTCAAAGCCCCACGAGAACTTGCTGATTAACGAAACCCCAGTGAAATCCACCTGCCAGACTCGGGCAGAAACCAGGCCAATCCACTCCCGGTGATTTCTGCTCACCACAAAGAACATCTGGCGCTGGTCCTTGTGGGGTAGCAAAAAGAGGCGCAGCACCGTGGTGTAGGGGATCTTGTAGTCGAAGGTCTTGCCGTGCAGATGCAGAAAGGTGGGGTAGATCCTAATGTCGTACCGTCCTCGGGGAGTCAGGCACTGCAGCTCCCGGAAGATACAGATGGCGTCTCCAGTGGCCTGGATCACGTCTGCCTTAGACAGCACGTTCTGGGCAAAGGCCTGCGAAAGCACACACTGGTAATGGAGCAGCAGGACCTGTTCCCAGGCCAGCCAGGCCCGCTCGGCACCATCCGCCCCCAAGGTGACCAGAGGAGGCCTCACCTCAACAGGGTCCACGCCATCCTCTTGGGTGGGAGGCACGTAGAAGCGCACCTCCATGAGCGAGACCTCTGCATCATCGTTCTGGTGGAACTCCAGGGTCACCTCATTCTTGCCTGTGGTGCACTGGGACACGTTGCTGAGGGGAATCTCGAAGACCGGCTGGTCGCCAATGTCAAAGGAAAGCAGCTGCCCTGTGGGGAAAGGGCTATCAAGCCACAGCTCCTCCCATCGAGTCTGCATAAACCACGTTCCCACCAGACACAAGTTCCCTGAGGACAGGGCTACCCTGTTCACACTGCACCCACAAGACCAGGCACAGTGGTCCTTGATAAATTCATGAGGAATTACAAAGTGAGAGGAAAACAGAGACAGTGACAGAAAGAAACAAGTTAAAGGCTGCCACCCTCATCCGACCTTCTCCCCAAACCTCAACCTGGCCCAGGACTCACCACCAAACTTCACCGTTCCCCAGTTCCAGCCCTTCACACATAGGTCCTTCTCCATTAGCTCAAGGCGATAGTGAGTTTTGAAGAAATCAGCGAGTTTCTCAAACTCCTGTGGGTGGAGCGGAGAGAGCAATCCCAGTAACACTGACGGTTTTAACACAAGCTTGAACATTCTGCAATTATCTATTCCTGAGAAATTGCCCCAATATACCTTTTATCAGAAATCCATGCTGATTTAGAATCTCAGCTATAAAACACTGTAAGAGGTTGTTTCTGGGGACTGGATCTCTGGGAGGGGAAGAGCAGAGTAAGGAACTGACCGCTCGTGGTTATGGGCCTCACAGTGCTATCTTGGTGCAGATATTGCTTTAATGAAAGTGAACATTAGAAGGAAGTGGACATTAAAATGAAGTAAAGTCTTCAACCCAGGCAGTTCAAAGTGGAAAAACAAAACCTGAACTAACGCATCAAACTAAGACTCTGCACCTGGATAAAGGCAACAAGCAGAAACCAAAATAAATAAAAACGGCAGAAAATCTTCTGGAAGTCAAGGCACCAAGACACTCCAGACTCTGACACCCAAAGCTGAACACTCATGGCCTGGTGGCCTCAGTCAATGGCCCTGCTCTACGGAGCTCAAACCAGCAACTGCGTGGTTACCACAGGAAGGAGACCCAACTCTCTCCAGATTAAAACGAAACCAGATGGCACCTTAAAAGGGGGGGTTTATGGCAAGAGGACACCTCACCGATTCTCGGAAGCCGTCATACTTGTAGACATGGCCATTCTTTGTGAGCAGCTTAAGTCCATGGCCCAGAGCCACCCGGCGCCAGATGCCTTCCGTCAACTCCCCAGCCTGGATGTTGTCCACTTTGCCCGTCTTACTGTTCTTGAAGATGATGCCCTGGCGGCTCAACCTCAGCCGCCCATCATTCTGTTGGAAAAGGGGGTCCAAATGCATCATTCTAGGCTGGCCAGGTATCAATCCAGAAGCAACAGCTGAAGTGCTGGGGGCCAGCAAAAAAGGGACAAGCAGCCAGGAAGCCCGGATCCTAATCCTGGCTCTGGCATCCAGAACCCGTGCAGGCCCTCCGTTTCAGGATTCTGGATTGAACGGCAGGCACGGTCCCTTCAAACTCAGACCCTGTAACTCTCGTACTTTCTCACTGTCGCCTTTTGTTGGGACAACACCAAGTACATGACACTCTGACTCCTTTTCCAAGGTAGCAACACGACCCAAGCGAGCTCCTGTGAATGGACGGAAAGTCTACTCCGCTCCCGCATCCCCACCTCCATCAAAGGCGCAAGCCCTTCTTACCATGGAGCCTTTCACCTCCTGGTAGATGTCGTTGAACTCCAGTGTTTCTGCCATGCTAACTGCCCCTTTTGGCCTCAACCGGGAGCTGGGCCCCAAATCCTGGATGGGTGTGCAGACACTCCCTCAGCAGGCTGGAAATCTGAATTCAAGAGGGAGACACCTGAGCATGAAAGACAACACCTCACTCTGCCCACGGATGGGGCCAGGTGGCAACCCCTGGCTGTGCCTGCGAGGTCGAGGATCTCTGCCTGCGAGCCTTCAGGTGGGCTCCGCAGACCTCGAGGGGCCAGACCCAGCCCCGACCAGAGAACAGGGCCTGAAGTAGCGCTTACACCCCAACCAGACACAGGCTCTGGGCGCTCCACCGGGCGCCATGGCAACGAGCAGCCCATGGTACCCCCGGGCCAGCCCGGGGCCCGCACTTCGCCCGCGCCCTAACCCAGCTCAGGGTGCAGGGTTCCCCTCCCAGCAACTGCATGCGTTCCCACCGCGTCGCGGCCCCAGCCCCGGGTTCCCCCCGCCCCATAAAGTGGATTCGCCCGCTGCCCGCGGATTCGAACGCGGAACGGCCCATCTGGAGTGTTCCGCGGGGGAGCAGGACTCGACCCTCCGGGGGCACGGGGACGGCGACCACCCACCTCCTCTAGCAGCAGCCTCGCGGCGGCCCCGGTGCGGGCGGTGGGCGCGCTGAGGGACGCGGGGGAGGGGGCGGGGGCACGGGGTGATGGGGGGGGTACACTGGGGAAGCTTTTCCCGCGTGCGCCGCCCAGCGTCCCGCCACCGGAAGCTGTCTCCGAACCATAGAGAGGACGAGCTGGCTAGAGAGGCGCGGGCCCGGCCGGCCTGCGAGGCGGTCACATAGAGCGTCGGCGGGTCTGGAGGACCTGAGCGCAGCCCGGCGGCGAGGAAGTCCCAACCGCTTGGCGTCGGACTAGGAAATGGGAACGCGTAGGGCTCTTTAAAAACTACAGGCACTGCTTCAGCGAAGGACCAGCTTCTAATGAGAAAAAGTGTAGTTTTCCTTTAGCGGACTTTCCACAGATGCGTGTGTTAGATGGACGTGGGCCCCTCTCTTCTGCATAATCGTGGTTTTTGTGGAGTGGAAGGAAGTCTGTGGGCCCAGAAGAAAAATACTTTGACTTGTGGAGAGAAATGACGCCTCCCACTGGCGGCGAAGAGAACGCAGGTGTTGGTGTCGCCGCGACGGCCCTGCTCTCCCCGGGATCACATGGGATTGGATCCTTTTGGAGATGAGTTCACTGTCTGCGCCCAAAAGCCTCGCTTCTCTAACCACAATGTATGGATCGCCCGGAAGAGGCTGGTGTCAAGTTCAAGTGCTGGCGTCAGATGCACCTTGGAGCCAAAACTGGTGTGAAACCGCATCAGCCTGAGAGTGCCGGAGCCATGCCCTAGGATGCATCTTGGAAACCAAAGCGGGCCAGACCTGGAAGGCACGTCTGAGTTTGTCTGCTCCAACCTCCTTTTGCAGGTGGGAAGGCTGAAGCCCTAAGAGGAGTCGACCAGGGTCTCAGCCAGTTGGGAGCAAAGCCAGAGCCTATAGAACCCAAACCCAGTCCAGTTCTCTTCTGTCATAAGCACATGACTGTACATCCGGAATGATTGGTAATGTGTCCGCATAAAGACAGGGGACAGATATTCAAACTCAAGATTTCTCTGACAATCCGTCTTAAAGCAGTTAGACCAGCTTGGTGGCTCAGTCCCAGGGTGCGAGACCGAGGGTATGCACCATTGCTCCCTGAACTCGTGGCTTTGCCCTCTGGGGAATGGCCTTTGCAGCACTAGCAACGTTGTTCAACTGGATTCCATAAATACATACTGAGCTCTAGCTGGTTTGGCTCCGTGGGGAGAGTGTCGGCCTGCGGACCACAGGGTCCCAGGTTGGATTTGAGTCAAGGGCACATGCCCGGATTGCAGGCTCCATCCGCAGTAGGGGGGCATGCAGGAGGCAGCCGATCAATGATTCTTTCTCATCAGTGATGTTTCTCTCTGTCTCTCTCTCTCTCTCTCTCTCCCTCTCCTTTCCTCTCTAAAAACAATAAAAATATATTTTTTAAAAATTTCATCATTGATGTTCTCTCCCCTCTCCCTCTCTGAAATCAATAAAAATATATTTATAAATAAATAAATACATATTGAGCGCCAACAGAGTTCTAGGATTTGAGGAAACTGGTGAACAAGATGGAAACAGCACCAGCCTTCCAGGAGCATACAATCTAACAAACGATTCAGATAAGTAAACTGACAGTAAAATAAAACAATAACAACAACAAAAACCACTTGATAATGCTATTCTACATGTAGAGCTTCAGCCACTGCCAACTTGAGTTAGAAACGTGAACTGCGATTCCTTACTCCCTCCCGGGAGAACAAGAGAGCTGTTTGAGACCCCTCCCCTGACCCATTCTATTAGAGGCAACTATGGAATGGGGGGGGGGGGCTGGCTGCAGAACTGAGTGGCTTAGGAAGACGGAGTGAAGGGGGTACTCCTATAGGGAGGCTATTAGGTGGCTGGGGGATGGGCCATTGCGAGGGGCTTTCAGGAGAGCATAAAGCAGCTGGTGAGCTGGGCTGAGGATGCAGCATAGAGAATGGAAGAGAACCGGTAGCCAGAGTGCAGATAAAGCATGAGTCCCAGAGGGCCCTCACCAGCTGGATCGCAGGCAATCAGGAGCCAGGGATTGGAGACCCCACCCCTGCTGTGACATCACAGGGGAGTGGGGTGGAGACGAACAAAAAGGGGTCCCCCGCCCTGGCCTTGGACTCTTGGCAGCCCAGAGCGTCAAGAGCAGAGAGAGCCTGGGCTCTGGGCTAGGGTTGCCTGACTTAAAGGAGCAGGCTCCCCATTCCACAAGCCCCTCTAAACTGCCCCCTCCAGGCCTCCTTGATCCCCGTCTCCCGGTCTGAGGACCTCTGCCTCCCACAGCCACCACTGGGTCCCTCTGAGCGGTCCGTGAGCACGCTCTCAGGATGAACTGCATGTCAGATTTCTTCACCTACGAGACCACCAAGTCTGTGGTTGTGAAGAGCTGGACCATTGGGATCATCAACCGGGCAGTTCAGCTTCTCATCATCTCCTACTTTGTGGGGTGAGTCTGAGGCCCTTCAGGACCCAGGAGGGGAGGGCTGCCCGGTGTCCTGGCCCCCTTCTCCCCTCGGTGGTGCTGTCCAGCTTTCTCAGCTTCTCCTCTCTTGGGGAAACAGTCTGTTTGGTGGAGGTGTGTCTCAAGGGCCGGCCTCTGCCGCCCTCATTGGGGATCTGGTCCCAGGATGGGTTTTCCCTCCAGTGAATCCTCCACAGTTGGAGAGTGGTCTGTAGGCACACACCCCGCGGGGAGTCCTTGCCCTGGCACCACCCTCCACCAGGAGAGGTCCCAGGGGACCATCTCCCCTCTCCCTTCTCTCATCCCCACCCTCAACCAGAGAGCAGGCAGACCAGACCCCCTGACACATCTTCCCACTGACCTCAGTCAACTCTTTGGGGCCGCAAGAAGACAAGGGGGACAGAAGGGGACAGAAGACACTGAAACAAGGGAGATGGTGACAGCGTGATCTTGAGGTGGGAAGGAGAGAACTGCACCCGCTTTAGAATGAGGGCTCCCCTCCTGGCATGGGGCAGGGGAGGAAGTAGAAAGGGGGGAAGCCCTTGCTCTTGGAGGGTCAGACTAAGCAGGGGGATCTTTCCCTTAGGAGAGAGGGAGGAACATAGGCACAAATGACATTCCAGGGAAGAGTTTTTTAGGAGAAAAGTGACTTTTCTGAATATGGTGAGGTGTCCCTCTTCACGAAGCCAGAAATACTCCGCTTTGTAAATTCCCTACTTCTACCTGACTTTGTACTGTATAACCCATCCTGGGAGATACTTAAGAGCCAGCGAGGTCTAAACACCCCTCTCCACCCCCACTTCTTTGAGGCACCCCCCCATTCACACATGCCCAGACATACACACTCACACACCCAGAGACAGACACACAGACATACCCACTCATACTCACACAGACACAGACACACTCACACAGAGCCATACACACCCACACACATAAGCACACACACACACACACACACGTACAAAAGGCCGAGGAACACAGGATGGCCAGAGAGGAAACACATTTCTCATGGTCCTTCGCACACGCTGGTGGGCCCCAGGAAATACAGGTCAGAACTTCAAGGGTTTACTTTCCTGGTGTGCAGGTCTCTAGTTCATGCTGTTCTTTGAGACAATGGGTCTGTGTGTGAGAGACAGCCAGCCACTGGCGGCTGCCATGAGTCCATTCAAGCGAGTGGAAGGAGACCTCCTGGGTGCGTGCGGCCGGAGCTGCGGGTGAGGGGCCTCCTTGCTGAAGGTCGCAGCAGCGGGAGGGTGTGCGTGGACAGGTGGGAAGACAGGGACTAAGGGATTTGGGCTCCGTGGGCTTCTGAGAGCCAGGAAGCTCCGGTCATACAGATGTTGTAGACAAGGCTGCGCACAGGGACACTAGCAAAGGGACTCAAGCTCTGGGCTCGGATTGAGTGCCCTTGACGCTCCCTTCCACGTTTGAGGTTTTGTGAGATGTTTGCAAATGTTTCACGTCGGCATCTCCGCTGCCTGGCTCAAAGTTGGTTCCTAAAGGTCCGTGTTCACGTGCACGTGTGATGCTGTGACTGTTTACATGCAGCCACACGATAGTATGATGGTCCAGGAGGGTGCCCAAAGCTGCCTCAGCACATTCCCAGCCTGGCCCAGCTCTGTTGGCTCCTGGCAGGAGGTGGTGGGTAGAGGCAGCCAGCTCTTGGACCAGCCTGCTCAGCACCCCACTGCCCCGTCTGTCCCTCACCATGGTCCAGTCTGATGCGCCGACCACCCCTGGTGCTGGAGCCTAGCCTGTTGGTGCCAGCACGAGATGGCGTCTTGGTATCCAACCCCATTCATCTCCCAGCCTGACAGCTCCCCCCAGAGCAGCTCCTTCCATTTGCATCGTCGGGTGCACTCCGCAGCCCAGCTCTCCCCGCTCCCAATCCCCGCCTGAGCCCCATCTCTGTGCACATGAGCCCATGCACCATTAGGATTTCCTGATTCCATTAATTTAGCACAAAGTGATTGAGCGTCTCTTCATGCCAGGCATTGTGCACCGAGGCTGGAACAGTGGGCAAACACAGACAACAGTCCTCACCCTCATGGAGCCTACAGTGCAAGAGATGGGCACTAACCAAATAATCTCTGCAAACAAATACAAAATGTCAGTGGGGGTTCAGGGTTGAAAGAAGAGGCACAGTGCTAGGATAGCAGCTAGTATGCAGGCACTGGACTTGGTCAGGGAGCTAAGGAAGGTTTTCTGCAGATGCGGCATTTAAGCCAGACCTGAAGGACAGAGTCGGAGCAACCCAGGAGAGGGAGAGAGTTCAAGGCAGAGAAGCCCAGCTCTACAAAGGGAACGGGCCTGGCTATTGGGGAGAAGAAAAGAAGGCCTCTGTGGCTGGAGCAGAAGGAGCAAGGGGAGGGGGGTGCAAGGTGGAGGCAGGATCCCAAGTGGACCCCAGACTCAGACACCTCTGGTCTTTCCTTTTTACAGAAGAGGAATGGAAGGGAAGCTACTGAAACATTCTAGAGTGTGTGTGTGTGTGTGTGTGTGTGTGAGAGAGATTGAGAGAGATTGAGAGCGACAGACAGACATGATGAAATATGAATTGAGAAGACCACTCTGGTGGCTGATATGCCAAGGGATTGGAATAGGTAGGAATGGATGCAGGAAAATGTGTTAACAGGTGGGCAATGGAGAGAGATGACTGTGATTTGGGCTCAGTAGAATTTGAATGGATTTGTGATGCTGTGATGTTAATGCTTAATACTCGCTTCTCCACTGTATGCCCGTCGGGTAGACCAGATGCACAACCTTACCTAGGACCTGTGTGACATGAGCCAAGCATTTCTCTTAAGCACTCACAGCAACACACCACCTAATCCTCTCCACGCGTGCTCCCACCCCCGCCCCTGGCCTCAGCCTGTGATTGACACCACTTCATCGCTGGTTTCTCCTCCCAGCCCAGGTGCACAGAGAGGCCAGGACCTGCCTGGCGTTTCTCCCACTGTCTTTCCTGGGCCCAGGTGGTAATCCAGTCTCCTCTATGGGGTGGGACTTCCTAAGAGCCAACCTCTTTTCTGGATCCCGTGAAGACCTGAGGAGGGAATGGGAGATCCCTGAGGCCTGAGTTCCCATAAACACTGGCCAGTGCCTGGCCTGAGGTTGGTTTTCGCAAACTAGCGGGGAGGGGAATCCCAGCCCTTTGAGGCTCCCGCCATCGCCATTGGAAGGACCTGTGGTGGCTGACGGTACCTCTGGCCCCATTGCAGGCCTGCTCTCCCTGTCCTGTTCCTCTCCACCCCTACTCCCCAGCCCCCCCCCCCCTCAAGGCCTGATCCACAAGCTCACTATTTGCACAGCCAACTTCTTTGCTTCATTTCAAATGAAGAGTCTGATCTGCCTCATTTCAAATCTTATGTAGAAGCACAGCACATAAAGCCATTAAAATGGGGAGGCACTCTAGTTAAGAAAAGGGCTGGAATTCCACCTCCTTGGCCCCCACCCCATCCTCTCATCCCAGGAAGCACCCCGAGGCACCCTGTTGACTAGGTGACAAGCACTAGGTGACAATACTGTGGGAAGACCTGCTGGAACCCCATCTTACAGGTTTAGAGAGAGCACTGGTTTTCATGTGTCCCCTCTCGCCTCACCGCAGCCTTATGACTGGGGAGACTGGGGGACCTGGGACACCTGGTTAGAAGCCTCCCTCTGACACCAGAGGTGGGGTGCAGACAGGTCACTTCACATCTCCAAGTCTCCGTCGCTGTATCTGGAAAATGGGTTCAGGAATGCCTCTCCTGGGGAGCAATGGTGAGGGGAGGTAACCCGTGTCCGTTCGTTGCCGGCGTTGGGTGACTCAGTAATAGATGGTAACTGTCATTATCGCACAGGCCCCCCCATCACGCCTCCCCCTTTCCCTCAGCCCAGCTCACGCCTCCCGGAGAGACCCCGTCCTCCGTCCTCCGGCACACACAGCACACCCTTCTCACACCCACTCCCTGGCCTCCTCCCTGCACACCCCACCTGCCAAGGAGCTGCCACCCGCCTTCCGCTCTATAAATAATAAACCAGGAACCCAAGAAAAAATAAGTCAGAGCAGCGGCGTCAATGCCAGGAACGAAAGGCTCGGTCCTGCCCCATCGCCTGAGCCCTGGCCTCCAGGGACCCACGCAGCCCTCCGTTCTGGAAATGAAGCACCCCGCGTTCGAGCTGCCCCGCTGACGTCCAGGCCCCACGGGGCCACTGAAAATCTTCTGCCTGTTATTTAACTCGCAGAGAGAAACCTGCTGTGGCCGCTCCTCCCCACTGGGCACAAGCAGGAGCCCTGGAGAAGGCGGGGCCGGGGAAGGAGGGGCCGGGGAAGCAGAGAGATTGGTCAGTTGCTCCTCCCAGCCTCTGGAGATGCGCCTACGCCGGGAGGTGCTTTCCCCAGACAAGGACCAGGATCCAGGGCAGGGGCCAGCTGTGGCCAGGTCCTGACCCCGGACACAGCTGGAGACCCTGTGGTGAGGCCATTGCGAGCAGCCCGCCGGGGTTGGAACCCACATACAGGCTCCCTTATTTGTGGTGTGATGATAATAATGAAGCCATGCGGTGGGCTGGTGGCAAGGCCTCGGTGAGTCCTGCACACGGACGGCACGCAGCGCGCTGGGCTGATGACGTGGTATTGACCATCTGAACTCGGCTTCTCGCCGGCAAATGTTCCCAAACTTTAAAAACGGGGATAGAAGGCGAGGTGCGTGTCAGGAAACCATTTCATTAGATCGTGCTCAGCGATGTCTCCATCCCATGGCCAAGCACTGAGGTTGGGGGGGGGGGGGGTGAGCACACAGTAATACAACCGCTGTCCGTCCGCTGGGAGCAGAGAGCTGGGGCCGCGACCTCCCTCCTCCGCTCTGCAGGGCCCCCAGCCACGAGCAAGGATGCTCATTTTGGACAGGTTTCTGGAAGGTGCTCCATCCCCCACCCCCCACCACCCGGCTGGGGCACAAGACGGCGGATGAGATTTCTACGTGAGCCACGCTCCCTTGTGAGATCTTGATGAACGCCCACTTCCCTTCCAAGAGGAAAAAGATAAAGTGCCAAGGAAGCTCAGCTCACGGCTCCCTGGGCTTCCGCAGGGGCGTGGCGTTCATAGAGTGTCTTACAGGCAGGCGGACAGCTCTCAACAGGCGTTCATCAGGATGGGCCGCTGTAAGGCCGTGACCATGAGACAGGTGACAGGTTGGGCGCCGCCTGCCAGCGCTGGCTGGGCCCCCAGCCTTCCTCTCCCGCTCTAGAGAGCGCACAGGATTCAGGCCCCTGAGAAAGGCCTGGCGTGGGGGTTCCTCGGAACCCTCTCACCAACAGCTGAACAAGCAGCCACTCGCAAATGTCAGCCTGGAGGGCAGGTGCCCATCCCACAAGTGACTCACCCCCTGGCATCTCCCAGCATCGGGGCATTCCAGAGGCCCCCAATCCAGCCCCTCCCCGGGAGGTGGGCATCGGCGTCTCCTTGAGACTTCCCAGGCCTGTGGCGCTCACCGCCTCCCACCGCAGCCCCCACCCACACTCAGGGTGAGAAAGCTCCTGGGCTTGAAGTCCTCAGCCCTCGTTACAAAGTCCTCGGGTCATCGCACGCGCTGCCCTCCGCTTCCCGGCCCCCAGATTGGTCTTCTCTGCCCCACACCGTCTCCCGCTCCTTCCGCTCATGCCACCCTGGTGAGCACGAGAAAGTAACCCTAATCCGGCGTTCCCAAAAGCACGCCCCTGGGTTCCACAAGACGTCACCCTGTTTCTCCAAAACCGAGAGTGTGCGGCATTCCCCAAGCACATGGGTGAGGTTTTCTCACCTGTGCAATGGGCCGGGGAACAGCATCTGCCCCCCAGTGCGCCTCCTGCTGGAAGCGTGGTTAGTGAGGCCGAGTGGCTTGAGCCTTGAGGGCGGTGGGGGGTGATTACTAAGGGAAAGGCAGGCACCTCACAGAAACGCAGAAGGAAGAGTGGTCTGCAGGCCCTTCTTGCTGCTGGGGAGGCAGGTGGGAATGGAAGAAGGCAAGGGTCCCTCCCTGATCCCATAATGGCTGGAAGTAGCAAAAAGAAGGCAATGCAGTTAAATGCCCACTAGGTGGCAGCACAATCCAAGGAATAAGATTACAGGCTCCTCCCTCCCAGCCCGACTCCATCCACCTGCCAGGTAAAGGCTCAGCCGCTGCCCCTCCCTCCCTCCTCCCTCCTCACCTGAGGCTCGCACAGATGGAGACTCTGCCAGGTGCCCAGTTCCCAAGCATCTGCATCGACTTGTTCACTAACACCTGCTGTGTGCGGGCACTTCGGATGCAGCCGTGCACAAAGCCTCCATGCAGAGAGAGGCGAGGAGCCTCTGCGCCTTCTGTCTCAGGTTCCTGCCGGGGAGGAGGCCTCTGTCATCCGCAGGAACGATGGATAATGCGTTCTCAGCGGGGTGATCGCACCCTCAAGGGGTGAGGATTGGTTTCTGAAGAATAAAAAAAGTCTCTTTTTATGTGTAAAGTGCAAATATACATACAGTATGTAAATTGATATGAAGAGTATTAAAATTTCATGGAGGGAGGACGATTAGGGGGAAAAGTCTAAAAATGCTCCTTCAGCAGGAAATGGGGGAAGGATGGAGAACAGTGGTCTAAGCCAAGCCAGAGCTCACTGTGAAACCGCCCTCCCCCGCCCCTCCCTTCCCCCCCCCCCCCCCCCCCACACACACAGGCCTCCCCTGCCAGGCCCCCGTGGTCCATGTCGGCAGGAAGGCGACCCCTCCAGCCTCTGTCTGATGAGCCTACACCCTTCTCTCTTGCTCTCCACCCCACTCTCTGCCCAGGTGGGTTTTCTTGCACGAGAAGGCGTACCAGGTGCGGGACACATCCATTGAGTCCTCCGTGGTAACCAAGGTGAAGGGCTTTGGACGCTACGCCAACAGAGTCATGGATGTGTCTGACTATGTGACACCACCCCAGGTATGGCCCCCCTACGGCAAGTGGCTGTGTCGACGCCCAGACCTGGGCAGGTTGGCGGGGAGACCCTGTGCATCAGTGACCCACAGCAGTGGCTGGGGGAGGGGGGTTACCCTCCTGAGTCAGCACCGGGCATCCTCTTGTTCTGCCACAACCTGTCCTGTGATCAGGAGGACACACAGAGGGAGCGTGAGGGGCCAGGGGGTATTGGAAGAGCCTGGTTTTGGAGCCCATGTCTGCCTTTATTGACCTGTGACCTTGGCCAAATCAGCAAGAGCCCCGGTTTCCCCCTATGTAGAGTGGGGATAACAAGAGTCCCTGCCTCATGAACTGGCACTGTTGCGTTTTCCTCTCCTTCTTCTCCCAAGGGCACCTCCGTCTTTGTCATCATCACCAAGATGATCGTCACTGAAAACCAGATGCAAGGGTTCTGCCCAGAGGTGAGGCCGGGAGGGAGGTTGGGTGAAGCTGGTCAAGGAAGAAGCCGCTGGAGGGGAGTGGTGGCAGGGAGGGGCGTGGGTGTAAGCAGAGGCCCTAGGTCCAGCCTTGGAGCCCAGTCCTGGGACCGACCTCCACCCCCCGGAGGCCCCCGGCTGGGGAGGCAGTGGCACCAAGGGGCTCACCCAGGCCGGCCCGGGGCCCTTCACCCACCCGTGGACCTGTCTCCCCTCAGAGCGAGGACAAGTACCGCTGTGTATCAGACAGCCAGTGCGGGCCCGAGCGCTTCCCGAATGGGGGTGAGTGGAGCCCCTTCCCCACCCCCTGACAACCCAAGTGGTATGGGACCCCAGAGGAGTTCCTAGTCCAGGGATGGGGGTGACAGCCGTGCCATGAGGTGGTGAGTGATGTCAAGGAGGGGCCAGGGGAAGGAAGAGATGGGTCCCAAATGGCTTCCCAGAGGCGGTGACATTTGAGATGGGCCCGGTGGGACGGAAGGATTTGGCAGGACAGAGGGGCTTTGAAGGGGGCATTCTAGGCAGAAAGAACAGTCAGCAAAGCCTCGGAGGCAAGGAGCAGCCTGCTGTGACTGGGGGCCTGGGACCTGTGAGAGGAGAGGTCACCTCCCGAGGCTTGCCTAGGGCTGGGGAGGGTCAGGGAGAGCTCTGCGGGGCCAACGTGCCACCGGGGACCTCCCTTGCCCTGCCTGTCCTTTCCGTCCGCCTGCAGGGTCCGTGTGTGTGTGTGTGTGTGTGTGTGTGTGAGTGTGTATTTGGGGGGCGTCTCCGATGAGGAGGGGTGGCATGGGGGAAGGGCATGGCAAAGGGCCAGACAAGCACACAGCACTGTCCCCACCCTCGCAGGGATCCTCACCGGCCGCTGCGTGAATTACAGCTCCGAGCTCCGCACCTGCGAGATCCAGGGCTGGTGCCCTGCCGAGGTGGACACGGTGGAAAGGTGAGGGCCTGCGCCCGGCGGGAAGAGAGCCCCCACCCAGGCGCCCCTGGGCCACCGTGGGGCGCCCGGCACCTCTGAGCTTGCAGGGGGTCTTGTGGGCACCCACCTGCTGTAGTGTCCAGCTTCCCCCCAGCTCGGCTCACCTGCCACTCCCGTCCTCTGACCCTCAGACCGGAGAGGCCCGGGCCACATGCCCGTTGGGCGGTGTCCACCAGGGAGGGTGGCCCTGGTGAGGGCTCCCTGCTCCCCTGCCCCTTCCTTCTGTGCTCACACAGGCCTGTCATGATGGAAGCCGAGAACTTCACTATTTTCATCAAGAACAGCATCCGTTTCCCCCTCTTCAACTTTGAGAAGTGAGTCCTCGCTCCTCCCTGAAGCCCAGAGGCAGTGCGCCCACCCCTTGTTCTCAGAGGGGAGGCGATGCCGGTCACCACGGGGTTCTCCCCACTTTCTCCCCATCTCCCGGGGGCTCCTGACCCCCATCTCCGAGCCAGGTCTCCCCGCCAGCCCTGACCACTGAGGCTCGGGTGGGCCAGTGTCTCTGCCAGCCCCCCCCCCCACACCCCGGCCTGGGAGGGGGCCATTAGACACGAGCACTTACGACCCTGAGGATGGGAGAGAGGGTGACAGGAGAAGGATGCAGGGACAGCGGTGAGGCCCCCCGCCTGGGCGCGCGGAAGGGCCCTGGGGCTCGGGCAGGCTGGAGAGAGCCTTGTGGAGGGAGGCCTGTCTCCACCTTGACCCTGGGCCTGGCCTCTCTCCTTCCCTCCTCCCTTCCCAGGGGAAACCTCCTGCCCAATCTGACGGCCGCCGACATGAAGACCTGCCGCTTCCACCCTGACAAGGCCCCCTTCTGCCCCATCCTGCGGGTGGGGGATGTGGTCAAGTTTGCGGGGCAGGATTTTGCCAAACTGGCCAGCACGGTGAGGACCTGCCCCCCCTTCCGCGGACCTGGGGACCCTTGGGCGGGCGGGGATGCTGGGGAAGCGGAGCAGCGGCGAGGCAGCGCCCCCTGGTGGAAGCATCCCAGTCCTGCCACCTGTCCTGGGCGGTCTTGCCCCCTCACCCTTCCCCCCAAGGCCCGGTTCCCATTCCCGTTACTCACGTCACCTGCACACAGCGAGGCCTGGGGCTCTGGACATTGGATCGGTGCCACTTTCTCCCGTGTTGTAGGTGAGGGGCTGACAACACCAAAAGCAGGATTTAGCGCCCCTGGGGCTCGCCCTGAGCCACGGTACTTCCCTCCTAAGCAACACGGGATGGCACCTCCCTCTTCGTTCTCGCCACCTGCGCCCTCCACCTGAGCGTGCAGAGCACTCACGTGTCTATTGGTGGTGCTCCCCACCCCCACCCCGATGAGGGGCACCGGAGGGCTGCGGGAGGCTCACGCCTGCCCCCTTTCTGCAGGGCGGGGTTCTGGGCATTAAGATCGGCTGGGTGTGCGACCTGGACAAGGCCTGGGAGCAGTGCATCCCCAAATACTCCTTCACCCGGCTGGACAGCGTTTCTGAGAAGAGCAGCGTCTCCCCCGGCTACAACTTCAGGTAATCAGGGGCATCAGGGCAAAGGCAAGGGCCGTTCTAAAAACTGCATCCGGCCCTCACTGGTTTGGCCCAGTGGATAGAGCGTCGGCCTGCGGACTCAAGGGTCCCAGGTTCGATTCCAGTCAAGGGCACATCCCCCGCTGGGAATGTGCAGGGGGCAGCTGATCGATGTTTCTCTCTCATTGATGTTTCTAACTCCCTATTCCTCTCCCTTCCTCTCTATTCCTCTCCCTTCCTCTCTGTAAAAAACAAAAACAAAAACTGCATCTGAAGAAACAACACGCATTGGCAGGAAAAGGGCCCATGTTCCCCCATCAGGTTTCTGTGCAAAATGAGGCAGGACTTTCCAACGGGCAGCTGTCGGAGACAGACAGGCCATCCGGTGAGATCATGGCTCCGGCCGCAGGGAGGATTCGGGCAGGCGGTGGGCGGTGAGGCCAGATGGCCAGGGTCTCCTGAAGTGTTGGGTTCTGTGATGCTGAGTTCGTTTTTCCGCTCTGGCTCTGAGGCCGGAAGGTGCCGAGGCCACGCCCGGGCAGCCCCATCCCTTCTTCTGCGCCTACATTTTCTAAGGGTTCTCGCTCCCCAGAGCAAGGGCAATAGCTGGTATCATCTCCCAAGATGGAAATTTTGTATTTCTGTCCAGAACCAGGAAATGTCACTGGAGTCACAAGTAGCAATTACAGTGAGCATTCGTTCTTCAGTGCCTTTCGAACAGGAACTCAGGCCAGTCTCTAGTAGCGTCTCATTGATATTCCCAAAGGCCTTGAGACACAAGAGGCCCCCCTCGTCCCCTCCCACTTTGCAGACAGGGAAAGAGAAGAACCCGGGAGAAGCTACTGGGAACCAGCTGAAAGCCCTTGAGCAAGCCCTTGACCTTCTCCCCTCCCCCTCCTTTCCCATCCGTGAAAGGGCAATGGTATCGTTATCTCCAGGATCCTATCAGCCAGTGTCTGAAAAGCTTTAGCTCTCTGTTCTGTTTTTCCCTTAATTTTTGAAAATCCTGACGTTTCTGGCAGGGCCCTCAGGAATCTGTGTTATACACCAAACAGGCTAATTAGCTAAGTAGGCAGTGATCAGGGGAAAATCCCTATAAGAACATACTACATCTATATGTTCAAGGAATTGCTACTCAAATCTCCTTTGTTGTAGTGGTATTTCACAATATAATGACATACATAAGCCCCAAAAAATCATTTCACCTTTTTTTTTTTACCTTTATCTGTAGCTTGAAAAGGTAATTATCCATTCCATTAAGCTTTATCTGTAATCGTTTAACATATGCATGTGTAATCTCTGGAAAGAAGAATGTTTTTTAAAAAAAATTGAAAGTGCTTTCATAATCAACTCCCAACTTTAAAAAATCATAGGAAACAACACATATTTTAAAGTAGTTTAAAAATACTGTTTGGCTCCCTCGCAGAAATTGGCATATTTATTCAGTCGGGTACATCACACTGCAATCAATACAAAGGATTTCATATGATAGCTTAAAATAGAAACATATTAATAAAATTCTCATGATCTAAACTGCAAGTTTTCATCTTCGTAACTTCCCCCTGGCCATTGGGAATTCTTCAATCCTGCAAATAACTTACTTGGCAGGAAAGCTTATGAAGGGAATAACGATTGGGAAGACCCCGGCTAGGGGTGTCACACAGCTTTAGAGCAATGCCTTTCATTTAAAGAATTGGTTTGGAGTTCTTTGTCTCCAATGTAGTGTGCCGTGGCGCGCACACACACACACACACACACACACACACACACGCACTCACGAATGCACGCACACCTCGCCTAGGCACAGCAGGACGTGAGGCAGACGGGTCCTACCTAAGCTTGTCTTTGGAGAGACAGGTCAGAGATCTCTTAAGGATCCTGAGAACATAAATCCCTGGGGGCCTAGGGGAACCGTCTGAGGGGTGTGGCCTCCACACCAAAGACCTCCAGCCAGAATATGAGGGGGCGAAGCTGCCCAATTTGATCCTGTGGTTTAAAGGGCTTCCCAGAGGAATAGCACTAGTGTGGGGAGTATCTGATGGCCTTGGCAATCAGGAGGCTCTGCCCAAGCTCCCTGAAGTCACTCCCTTGGGTGTCTACCCACTCACCTTCATGCTGTCTTCGAGCTACATGGACACCCAAGGCTAAGCTAGGAGCCCACAAAGGGCCTCCTTTCTGAATCCTGAGAGGGAGGAAAAGGGCCACAGCCAGGGTCAGCGTGGGCACAGGGCAGTTCCTGGGATGGGTACAAAGTATGCAGCTCCTGAGAATCCCACAAGCTCCCTGTAGGTAGAAATGATACTGGGCACCGTGTGCAAAGTGTCTGTGCACCTTGGTTCGTTGTTCCCCACCCCCACTCTCCACAGGGAGGCGCTACAATCCCCCCCACTTCATAGGAGAGAAAAGTGAGGTGTGCAGACTTAACTATGTTTCCCACTGTCACAGAGCCAGTAAGCGTGGGAGCCTGCATGCAGACGTATTTTCTGGAATGATGTCCACCCCAACCAGGAAGGCTAGGGACATGGGCACGTGTTAATCCTCAGAAATGTACGCCTATGTGCTCGTGGGCGAGCGACTAGCTTCTGGGGGGGCCACAGGACACAGCCTGGCCTTTTGTCTCCCAAACAAATTCCTCTGCCTCTCTGACAGGGGCCAGGTTTTTTTCAACGTCTTGCCATCCTGTCCTACAGTTTGTTGCCTTTTGCTCTGGAGGGAACGGAATCCTTCAGCCAAGATTCAGCCTTGTTTAATATGCAAACTCAGACATCCAGAGGCAGCTAGAGACTCACATTTCCATCACTAATTACTTCTGCGGCTCCTTTCCAAACCCCACCCCCATTTTTGGAGGCTCTTCGCCTGCAGAATCCGAGATTTAGAGAAGCTCTAGCTGTTGAGAACCCCTTGGAGACACCTAGACGGAGAGGCGGTCATTCTACAGATGAGGAAGTAGAAACTTCAAAGGGGCAGTGATGTGCCCAAGGTCACAGGTGCATCTTAGAGTAGCCTGAGAGGCCATTTGCTCCCAGTGCCTACATCCGTCTCTCTGCAAAGCAGCCCTAGACAAGGGACCACTTCACAAGATGGCCTGTCCGTCATCGGATGGCCTCCCATTCATGTCAAGATGACCTTGTTTTGAGCCAAAATGTGTCTCCCTTCAACCCCCACCCAAAGTACCTGTCGCTGTCCATCTAAACTTACCTTTGTTTATGTGATCTGAAGGCTTCTGTCTGTCCCTACCGCCCTAAAATTTGCTGGAAAGATGTTATTTTACTACGAAGTCTATTTTGCATGGCTAAAGACTCCAGGGGCTGCTTTAGCTTATTTGTGGGTGTTTTTTTTTTAACTTGGTATTTTTAAGAAGCCTCTTTCCAAGTACCTTGAGAGTGTGCAGTTGGTGCGTTCGTCTGGCTTAGCAGTGGGCAAAGGGCAGCATTTTTGAAAATAAGAACTGGCCAGAGTCACCAGTTCAATGGTGCGAGGGTGACAGGCACCCCAGTGTTAGTGTTCCTGCAGGGGTCAGTTCCTGCCACACAGAGGGGGCCCTCAGTTTATCAGAGCACCCCCCTCCCCAGAGCTGGGCGCTGGCACTGCCGTGTGTGAGTTTGTGAGTGAGGGTGAGTGTCTGTGGGTGAGTGAGTGTGTGTGAGTATGTGTCGGTGAGTGACTGAATGTGTGCGTGCGTGTGTGCGCGTGCCTGAGTGTGTCAGTGAATAGATGTGTGTGGGTGTGAGTGTATAGGCAGAGATGGTACAAAGACAAATTAAAAATACTGTATCAGTCAGGGTCCCAGCAGGAAACAGATGGCACATGCAAATTGGGTAATTTGAGGAGAGTTTAATACAGGGAGTGCTGCGGGGAGGGTGCAGGGATACCACAAAGGATCCTGCAGTGCCTGGGGCCCGGGTCTGAAGGGGCGAGGACAGGAAGCCGTTCCTGGAACCCGGAGACAGAGATAGGACACAGCAGCCTGAGGAGAACTGTGACCCAGCCACGCCCCCTCTGCAGCCGGAAGCCAGGCAGCAGGCCCAGGCAGCCCAGGGCAGGGTGGGGAGGGAAGGGAGGAGCACTGGTGTCTAGTACCAGGCCTACCAACTTTCCTGCGTGAAATCACAGCCCTTTGTTAACTTTTGAAGCAGCACTCACCTCACCGCACAGTTGATTGTCCAAGGAAAAGGCATGTATACATAGCCTTGAGCAACGTTGCAGTCAATTTCTTTGGTTAAAGGATACTTTATTTCTACAAATAGGATGTAAATGCATCCTCAGAGTGACAACCCTAAGACAAATGGGTAGATAAAGTAATGGCCTGGAAACTGGCTTCACTGCTGGCTGCTCCCTTGCAGGAAATCAGCATCCCACACAGTGTGGTCCGTTTCCTTCTCTGCACATCTATTTAATATCTATTTATGTGGCATAGAATTCCGAGACTTTGAAGACCTTTGAAAGCCTACCCCTGGACCTCAGGTTGAGGGCCCCTCGCGCCCTTTCACACCTACTTTTGACAGGATTGACAGCTCTTCGCCCACCCCGCCCGCACCCCTCAGTAGGCAGAGAGAGATTTGGAAACTTGCCCAAGACTACAGAGCCCAATTAAGAGGTTCATCAGGACTCAGACCCAGGAACCTGTCCTAGAGCCATTGCTTCTAGCAAACCTCCCACCAGCATATCACTAGCAAAGAAAAAAAAGAGGCAGCTCGGGCACATAAACCCGGTGGTGACTGCTGGGATGAGGAGAGAGAAGCAAAACGGTCAGCAGTGTCGGACTCCTGGTGCTCCTGAGGGTCCCTAGGACAGCGTTGCTCCTAAAAGGCGCCGCCGTCTTGGCTCTCCTCCCCTGGTGTCTGCTAGCGCTCAGCTGCTCACGCTCCTCGTGCTGGAGGAGTTTGTGGTGAGTGTTCCATGTTGGAAATGTACCCGCAGCAGCTTTCACGAAGCTGAGACTTGGCAGCTGAGCTGCTTCCACGCGGAAACGTGCCGATCCGCGAGATCTTAGGCCAATCGAC